TCAAGTATAAGAGCTGACTCTTGCCAGTTCAGCTTTGTTTTAATATTCTTCGAAGCCGTGCGTGCGTGTGTCTGACATGTTCCTGTGATAGTAGAATGGCTATTACAATCCTTGAAATACAACATGTGCAATTTTGGTTGTCATAACAAAGGTCAGTGTGCACAAAAGTTGCTATTTTTATTCTCAACTGTGTCTCTCAAGTGGGTTTTTTATTTTTTTTAGAATTAAAGTGTTTTAGGAGTCTGGAGTGCCCCTTTAAACTTTACAGGAGTTTGACACTAAACTGGGGAATTCCAACTGTAGGCCAAAATGCTCCAATATACTTAAAGCGGCACTGTCATAATGGTAATTAGGGGGGGGGAGTGACCTACTGTCCACCCCCCCTCCGGCCCCCACCCCTGGGCGGCAGGTGAGGGCCATAAAGATAATGAGGGGGGGAACCTACTGTCCTCCCTGGCCCCCACACCTGGGCGGCGGGTGGGGGCCATAAAGATAATGAGGGGGGGGACCTACTGTCCCCCCCACCTCCACCCCTTGCTCACTGTTTAGTAGACATGCCCCTACTCACGGTATAGCGAGTAGGGGCATTGGGGAGATTTTAATCTCCCTTATGCTACTATGGGGGTCATATTAATCCCCATAGAGTGAGGGGGGACCTGGGAGGCTTATGAAGTGGTGGGGAGCACTGCTCCCTGCCGCTTCTATCTTTACATATTAAAAGGAGGGAGTTGCGTGCCGGTAGCTCCCTCCTTGTAATAAACTAAACTAAACAAACGAACACTGACATTCAGTGTTAGTTTGTTTGTCTGATTTTTCTATTCATTTATTCGTCTGTCGAATGAATGAATAGATGAAATTCTCGTTCGCATGTCCAGGTGTTTCACTGGGCATGTGCGGGAATCTCACAGTCTATCTAGTGTGGGCAGATGACGTGTCCCACAGGAACTTCATCTACCCACACAAAGATGGCTGCACCCTGAATATAGGTCAGGGCAGAAAATAAAGATTAAAAAATAGGTAATATGGGGGGCTTAGGGGCATTTGGGGGTGAGTAGGGTGTCAGTTAGAGATAGTGGAGGCCGGAGGGGGGTTTAAAAAACAAAAAACAAAAAAAGATTCGGCATGACAGTGCCGCTTTAATATGGTATCTTTCTAATGCAAATATTTTAGATTAAAATGTCAAATTCCTTGATAAGTTTCCCTTCATTCCCAGTCTAGTGAATACCCATAATGATTTCTGACCATCTCTGTTGCATTTCAAATCCTTGGGAAACTTCAGGTTCTTGTTAATCTCATAGAAACGATCATTTAGCCTTATTGATTGGGATGTAAAGCTGATAGAATGTAAAGGGTTTTACTCACTCAGCAAATTGTTGCAAGTTAAAATCATCGAAAATGTAGGCAAGAGGGTGAGTGTTACTGAGTTGGAGAAATCTGCTGTTTTTGTAATATGTTTTGAATTCAGTTTTTAGTGAATAAAATAATTTAGTGTTTAATCTCTGATGTTTTGCTGCTTCAGAGCTTAATTGTGCCCACCACTTACTTAGTATCCCTATTGAAGGTAGTTTTGAATTTGCATGGGACCATTTTCAGCGTTTTCTTTTCACGCCTGCGCTTCATTTTCATGGGGTTGAGACTCAATGTAAAACATTTAAACATTTGCATATGTATTTATTTGGAGTGCCACAGAATGCGTATCCTTTAACAGAGGAATGGAGTATATATTGCCCTCCCTTCTGGTTCTGAGAGGTTTTAATAGTGTGTGCGCTCCTGTCAAATATTTGCTCATTTACAAACCAAAATACCTAGGATACATATGAACTGCAGCAGGTCAGTGATTTCTTAACTTTGACACACCAGAGGTTTGTGAACTATTATCATCCTTTGGTGCTCAGTCATAAGATTGGCTGAGCATCAAAAGAAAGCAGACTTTATGTAGACCACATGTCCAGAAAGACATCAAAATGACAACCATGCCACTGCGTAAACATGACATAAAAGATGCCATGTTAAAGGACCACTATAGTGCCAGGAAAACATACTCATTTTCCTGGCACTATAGTGCCCTGAGGGTGCCCCCACCCTCAGGGACCCCCTCCCGCCCGGCTCTGGAAGGGGAAAGGGGTTAAAAACTTACCTTTTTCCAGCGCTGGGCGGAGAGCTCTCTCCTCCATCTCCGCCTGCCGCTGAATGCGCACGCCGCAGCTGCGCGCAAGATTCAGCCGGTCGCATAGGAAAGCATTTACAATGCTTTCCTATGGACGCTTGCGTGCTCTCACTGTGAAAATCACAGTGAGAAGCACGCAAGCGCTTCTAGTGGCTGTCAATGAGACAGCCACTACAGGGAATGGGGGAAGGCTTAACCCATTAATAAACATAGCAGTTTCTCTGAAACTGCTATGTTTATAAAAAAAAAATGGGTTAACCCTAGAAGGACCAGGCACCCAGACCACTTCATTAAGCTGAAGTGGTCTGGGTGCCTAGAGTGGTCCTTTAATAGGACCTTAAAAAAAGAAACGCTTCCCTCAAGTTTAAAACTAACTTTTTTCTGCAATTCTAGAGTTACTCAAAAAAACAAAGTGAGCTGCTCTCTGGGACCCCATGAAAGTTGCAAGACAGTGGGCAGCCGGTTTGACTGTTTAAGTGGGGTGGTACTGGCCATAACCACTACACTGTAGTGGTTATGGAGCTTGGATTGTTTCTGCATATACAATCTGTTTATTTAAAGTGGCTCGAGCACGTTTTTACATCATTTGTAAAGACCCCCGACAGTGATGTCACCCATGTGTGTCCTGTGACCCAGGGGGTGCAGAGGAAGGCTTATTATACTTGCTTGAACCTGCCCTTTCGGGTGCCACCATGCTCTTCAATCCCTTCCCCTTCAGCTCCTGGTGGATCATCTGTCAGGGGCCAACATCAGCGCTCTACTCTGACGCATCACAGGATTCTCCAAAAAGATCCCTTTTCCCTCGGCCGTTACTAGTGACGGCTGTGGGCTTGTCACACTTTGACAAACTTGTCAAGCTTGTAAAGTAGAGGGGGAAAAAAAAAGACAAAGTTTTCCCTCTTCACAGTGAAATTCCAAAACTGTCAATGTGAGTATTTCATAACAATTTTATCTTGTAGTAAATACTCATGTTGGGTGAGGGGGGAGATGACTGTCACTTTAAGAACTTGGCTAGACTAGACCTCTAACGTGTTTAGCATAAGGAATATACTGTCTGACTTGTATTTTGCGGTGTTGTTACTAGTTGCTTTGTTTCTTGTGTTATTTTCTACATGTCTTTTCATAGAGATGAATCAGTGAGTGAGTGCTAGTAGATCCATTTTGTTCCCCTCTGTGCACCGTGTGATGCTGTGACTGCCTCCATTCTACTCGAGCCTTCTCCAATCTGTTATTCCTGTATACACACAGCACTGGGTAACAAAGTACTGTACAGCTGCCGTCGTATTTCCTCTTAAATGTAATTGGTGTGGAATGTAAGATTTGCAGGATCATCTAGAATCCGAATGGAGAACACAATGACTTCCTGGCCTTTGCAAAATAATTTTACTAGTTGAAGACTTATTTTTCACCACTTTTTCATCTGCTGGTTTTGTTTTAATGCTTCCGTTGGACTGACTGATATTTTCTAAAAAAAAAAAAAGTGCTTGTAACGTTTTTTGGGAACCACAGAATAGCCACACCAATAATGTCCTGTTCAATGTTAAACAATCAGTAGCCACATTTCCAGTTAAAAACCTGTGGTTCTTTTGCGGTCTGACAGCCACTAGATGCAGTCTTAACCCTGCAAGGTAATAACTGCAGGGTTAATGGGACAGGGTCTCTGCACCCAGACCACTTTAATGAGCTGAAGTGGTGTGGGTGCCTACAGTGTCCCATTAATGTATTTTCACGTTCCGAAAAGTATCTGTTCACAGATGACCCATGTGACCAGGTTATCGTCTGGCTTATTGAAACATTTTCTCTATAGATTTAGCTAGAACAATTGCTAACAAATGTTATAAGTTGATAATGTATTCTTAGCTGACTGTTTTTCATTTCCAACCCATTCTGTAACTATGGTGTGTTAGATGGCACACTTAGTGAAAACTAACACACACATGCTCCTTTCTTGGGACAATCCTGTGTTTGTTTGCCTTGTCTTTACACCAACTACCTACAGGAAATATCCAAATAGTGTGTGTGTGTGTGTGTATATGTATGCAGTGTTTCTGTACATTAACTAGATTGCCCAGTGTCTAAAATGTTATTACTGCATATACTTTTTATTTCACTTATCTGAACATGCTAATGATTTGCATAACATCACATTAGCTTGTGCATAAGGAGTTCTGTTTGTTACATAGAACAGAAAATGCATTTTTATTTAAGTGATACTAGTTACTATACTTTATTTAGCTGATCTTCAGAGAAAAAACCTGTTAGTCTTTTTAAGCACCTAATTTGTTCTTTTTGTGTAAATACCACTGCACTAATGGTTTCTGCTTTCCCTATTTTTAGATAGCATTTTTTATGAACAATTAGCCTTTCAAAGTAATGGCTTGAAACTGCTTAGCAAAAGAAAACACTAGCATTGTTTGCAGAAAATTAAGTTCTCTGATCTTATGTTGGATTTGTATGGTTTTCTTTATATCAAGCCTTTTGCAGTTCTAATTATCTATTTATTTTTCTCCTTTTTTCATTTTATTTTTTTCCTTCCTAGCTTTGACTAATGCTCTCAGCCTACCATCATTGCTGTCTGAAGACCAACTTCTTGGTTTGTGTAAAGACATGTTCTATAAAGACTGCTTCCACGGTCACTTTGCACCATAACAACTGCATTGAGCTGTGATACTACTTAGTTCCCCTTTAAGAATTACATTCATTAATACTTATTGTTGGAGAGATGTTTTATCATATTATGATGTATAGATCTCTCCCCCCTCGCTCCCCCCTCTCCCCCCCTCTGTTGGATATTTCCTTCTGGGAAACATCTGTTGCTGGGCACTGTTGTGAAGAGAAATATAGCTGGTTTTCTCAATACTAAATCATGCAAAGCTGTCACTAAGTTTTAAAGGGTAATTATTGCATCCTAAATTTAATCTACGGTTTACTGATCGCCTATATATAGTATCTGTTGGAGGTGTAAAAAACAAAATGTAGGAACGCACACTGCTGTACCTTCAACCTGGGTACCGCCATCTCTGCTTCCTGTCAATCAAAGGTATTGCCATTCAGTGCAGTGGAAAAGATGAAACATGGTCTATTCTCATCCTCTGTAGACTGGACTTAAAGGTTTATTCTAAGCATCATCACAGCCCGCTGTAGTGGTTCTGATGCCAGGACTACCCTGGCCCTTTTTACCGGTAATGGGGCAGACCGGTTTGCAACGATCTGCCTTCTCCCCTGAACTCCCAGCCTTACATCATACATTTCTGCCACTTCTGCTTGGGCAAAGGCTTCTTTGTTAGCTTGATTGGTGATGGAGGGCAGAGATATGTTTAGGGCGTCTCCTTTGGGCTTTCAGCCAACCCCTGTTGCATGTACAAGCAGTGAGTGTCACTTGAGTAGTCTCAGCCAATCACTAGCCCTCAATGCTGTTCAAGTTATCAAGGAAGGTTTAGCTGAAGTAGTGGGGAGGTACCACGGGGTCGCCTGAGACCTTAGTTCACCATTTAAGTGTAAGTGGTTATATGAGAGCGATAGAGAATACACCAGCATCGTAAGTATGATAAAACATCTGTCCAACAATAAGTATGTTTGAATTTAATTCATAAAGGGGAACTAAGCAGCATGCTGGCATAATTGTAAGGGATTAGAATGTGAAGACATGAAGGAGTTATGATGCCTTTAAGAACTTTCTGTGATTCTTTTAAGGCATTAAACTGATTTTATAATCTAGTTCATCACTGGTTGTTCTCATGATGTTGGATTGTCATGTTTCTTATATGGTTTCTCCAACCTCCATGACCACTTCTGCTTTTAGAAGTGGTCATGGTGGTGGGAATCTATATGTGCAGGGCTTATGCTTTAAATGCTTTACATACAGAAAATCTTCACTTTTTGGGTTAGTTACACCCCTGGCACACAGGACATATTGGCTGCCTAATGTCAAATCTGTGCAAAAATTACATTTGTCATCTGCGTTCTGGCAACAGACATTATTCGCTTCTACCATTGCTGGGATTGTTCACCTGCAAGGAAAAGCCTTCACACCCTCCATACATCAATGTGCTTCCTAAATTCATAAATTGAGAGAGATTTATTTTTTTTTAGATTTTTATTTTTTTTTGTTTAATTTCCTCCTTCCCTTATCCACCCCAGCTCAGAACGTGAGATTGCAGTCTGAGGTGATGAGAATAGTCCAAACAAGTGCTATGAGAATCATTTGATTGGACAATGGAAGGAGTAGTGATGTTGGATGAGGTGTGGAATAACCTTATCTGTTGCAGAATTCTAGATATGTTTTTATTTTTTTTTTTTAAACAAAAAACAAAAGGGTTGTGGGGGTTGTTGGACAAGCTACAACTGCACAATATGGCAATTTTAAAATCTAGCATAAAAAAGGTTTGGAGTAACCCCTTAACTTTGTTTAAAATGTGGTTTGTTTGGCAGCATTTTAGATGGTATACGGTTTATGGAAAAGAGTTGGGTGGCTTGAATAGTCATGCTTTGCTTTGCATGGGCCAGATTGCCTTTTATTTATATTAAAATGAGACAAATTAATTGCCCATGATTTTTATATGTAGATTTTTTTTTTTTTTATTCTCCCCCCACCTGCTAGTTATGCTTTATTTTTTTTGAAATGATGCAAATCAATAGTCTCCTCCTTTTGCACACACTGTTGTATTAATTAGATTTTTGCCACTTCCTGTGAAGACAGGAACTTCTTTAGATTAAGACCAGTTCTGTTATGAAGGTGCATGGCTAATTTTGTAGGTTTGCATGTTTGGTATTTCTGGTCTCTTAAGTCTTCACTTCCTGTTTTGCATTAATTCAGCAGTAGCAGTGACTGTTTACGTTCAGTAAACAAAATATCAAAGATCCTCTGCCCTTGTTCACGTCTTTTCAAATATGTGGCCAGTATAATAAATCTGCATGTGGCCAAAACAAATAAACAGCCTCCACATTTTCTTTTTGTAAGTTCCAAAAATCACACCTTCTAGCCGCAGCATAGAGTAAAGGTTTTGGACAGTCCTTTATCATCCTTGAGTTCATTCATGAGGTTACAATTACAATTTATAAAGCCTCAGTATTTGGGGCCCCCCATGACAGGGGGAGCAGGGGGGGGGGTGGCATTTGCATCAGTGCCTGCAGGAGCAACGGGAACGGTGTTCCTGCTGTAAATAAAGTGCAGGAACGCCGTTCCCACGCGTTCCTGCAGGACTCGAGCCCTGGTCTAGACCAATTTCGACGTGGGATAGAAGGTAAATAGAATTACTTTTATTTTAGGGTTACCAGGTGGGGATACAAATCTGAATCTGCAAGAAATGACTTTAAAGGGACACTATCAGACAGCCACTAGAGGGACTTCCGGGTGCTTAGACGACCTTTGATTAATGCTTTCCTATGGGGAAATCCTAATACGAGTGCGGCCATTGCTGCGCGTGCGCATTAGGTCTCCCCACTGCGGCTGATGTCAAGGGAGGAGCGTAGGCGGAACCTGAATTCAGGTAAGTGCTGCAGGAGGGGGGTTGCGAGGGAGGGGGAACTGTAGGAATTTATAGCGCCAGGAAAACTGCTTTGTTTTCCCGCCACTATAGAATCCCTTTAACTTTAGAGTTTCCATTTAAAGAGGAATTTTTAATATTATTTTCACTTATGTATATTGTTAACAAATGTATTTGAAGGAAGAAGTGCACACCTCTTTATCCTGCAAATCGGTACCTCCATCTTAGCTCCTTGTCAATCATTGTTACAAACGCTTTCCTTTGCACCTGGCAGTCAGCATAGGGAAAGCATACAGTGGACAGAATAAATTTAAACAATGTATGGCCTGGCTTTACATTGTCTGAACTGGATCATAGTGTAATTTTCCCAATGTTTGTTACAAAGTTAAAAGAAAATGGGGGAAACCCTACACACACACAATTTAACACTCTGCAGCTGGAGGTGTAACTCCACCTCTGGACTAGTCATTGTGGTGTCATTAGCCAGTCCTGAACTAGATTTCCGGATGATTTTTAGATTTCTGGGCGTGAACACCACAGTAAGGGCGGATCTAACCAAAAACAGTGTTTTGGTTGGAGTAAACCTTGAATAAAACAAGGTTTCAGATAATTTGTATTAAGTAGTGTAATTCTCAGGGAAGTGAGAGTTCCTCTTTTAAGTCAGGGCTTGACAAATTTGCATTGAATCTAGGAGACAGCTAAAAAATTTAGGAGACAGATTTTTTTTTTTTTTTTTTTTTACTTACAAAGCTTTATATTCAACAACAAATTTACAATTCTTGTTGTTGAATATAAATGCACCAAATTCTTAAAGGGGCACTACAGTCACCAGGACCACGCTACAGCTTTAATGTAGTGGTTCTGGTTTCTATAACCTGTCCCTGCAGACTTTTCAGACAAGAGGCAGTGTTTACATTGCTTCCTAATGACCGTCACTCACGCTCTGCATGGGGGAGCTGAACATTTCTCATAGAGATGCAGTGTTTTACAGCCAATCCTATGGGAAAATATTGGATTGGCTGAGATCATCAAGCTTGATCATTTCAGCCATAGAGGCAGGCCCAGTTGGGGGAAGACCACCACGGCGTGGGGAAAAAAAAGGTGAATTAAAAACACCATTCCCTTACGAATGGAAGGGGTCTGGTCACCTAAACACACACATAGCTTGACACATACTCACTCACTCACACTGACAGACACAAACCCATGTGCATAGACACATACACATATTCCATGACTGACCGACACTGTCAGTGTGATATTGTGTCTCTGTCGTGGTGTGTGTAACACACACCATAACAGGCCGATATATATACACACCCACACCATGACTGACAGACACACACACTCACAGATTATTGCTTGATTTAATACCTTTTGGGGACCAGCTGATGAATTGTGAAGGGAGCGCATTTTGGGGGATTATGGAGGCGGGCGGCATGGTGGGTGGTCGTGGAGGTGGGCGGCTAGCTGTGCGTAATGTTGTGGGCATCATATTCTGGCCCCAGTCTCATTAAGCAGCGCTCAAGGGAGCAGAGCAGGGAAATCACAGCTGCCTTGCTGCTGGCAACAATACGCGCAGATGGTCGTCTGCCTCCACAACACCCCACCATGCCGCCTGCCTCCATAATCCCCCAGCTTGCTGCCGGCCACCTGCCTGCCACGGAGGTAAGGGAATCACAGTTCTCAGGCGCCAAGGCAAAATTCCTAGGGGCCATGGTGACCTGGCACCTGGGATTTATTGAGCTCTGTTTTAAGCAATTACGTTTTTTCTTCTTCAAGAAACCCATTCTGCTGACAGTATATAAATATGAAATGAAAAAATACTAGTTAAAAAAATCCCTTTATGATATTCTGACTCATTATATGTAGCAATTCATGCCCAAACTGTTGATAATATAGTCTGAAAACATCCAGAGTTCTAAATATTTTTGCAACATAACATTAGGGATTGGTTTGCTTTACACATTTTTCAGGTTTAATACTATGCAAAAAATGGATTAAACGCCCTCCCCCTGCGGACGAAGGCCTGAGAGTGCTATCTATATACTATATGTAATTATTTTAAAATATATTTTTTATATATATATATATATACTTTTTATTTTATTTTGGAGTGTTGCTTTAACCTGGCAGAGAAAAGGTACAGGTTCATTATTTGTAGTGTTTACTGTATCCAGCTGGTGATTTTAGCTTGACTATGGTAAACATCAGAAGCTATAGAGATAAAATAAGTATTTAATTTGGTGATCATCCAAAAATCAGTGAGCTTTCACATTTTCCAACTAATTCATACAGTAGCTCATGAGATTGAGTGGGTGTGGAGGCTCTGAGTCATTCATTGCCCTAAACATTAATATTTTTGCTCTTTTTCTTATTACAAGCTAAACAACCTTCCTGGTACCTGGATGTGCTCAGGGATTTCAAACATCTGTGCTCTGTGTGTGTCACAGAATTTGTAGTTTGTGTGTGCTAGTGGGTGTGTTTGTGTATGGGTCAGTGGGTGTGTGTCTGTGTTTGCGTATGGGTCATTCAGTTTGTGTGTCATTATGAA